ATGCTTGGATTTAAATATTGTTCTTTTTTTATAACTGTCCAGAAAATTTAAACTTTTGTTTATCACCACATTCCTCTTTTTTAATTATAATTGGGAGAATATTTTTATCAATTTTTTTCTCTTTTTTTATTGCATGTTTCTATTTTATCATTAAAGTTTTAATCAATCTTTATAGGTTATATCAATAACTTTAGATATAAAATCTTACTGCCCTGGTACCATGGGCACAGCAACACCTCTGCTTGTAGCTGTAATGAAAGCTATATTTGTGGGGTATTCTCTCTGATAAAAATTAAATTAACCCATTTTTACATTAACATTAGTTAAAATTAGAAAAGATTATTATGAGGAAAATCCCACATATATTATTTGTTGATTTAAGGTGTTTTTTAAATTAAAAATTACTTCAGACTGTGGATTTAAGGCCAATATAAATTTTAGTACAACTTGCTCTTCTCTGTATTTCATTCAGAATGTTATAATTTCATAAAGAGATTTGTTATTAAACCAATTTGGATAATCTTAATTGATTTAAAAGACCTATATACTAATAAATATTTTTATATTATTTTCTGAAAGCTAAAAGGTAGAATAGAAATATTTACCAGAAGTATTGTGATCTACTTAGACAACATACTTAAACATTTTCTTCAACTTTTCTTTACTGATTCTTATTATTATTATTTTTTTTTTAATCATTTATATGAATTTATAAAATAAATAAATAACATATCAACTGTCGCTAACTAAGGACTTATCCTGTTTCAGGTAATGACTTCTCCAACCACTTCACCTCAGAAGCCAGCTGGAACTGAAAGCCCAGCAAGGCCAGTGAAATGGCAGTGGCAGGAGTCTACTGTCCCGACTGGAGTAGCCGGCTGGACCAGGGTCTGGCGCCTTGCTCGGCTTCTCCTCCAGGCTAATTGCTGAACGGTGGCTGTTCTCTTTCTATCTTTCGGAACTAGTCAGAGGCTGCTATAGCCGCAGCCTTAGATTAGACCTCCTGTATCTCCTACCCTCTCTTCTTCTTGATGTCTCATTCTTTCCCCTTTTCATGTTCCACATTAAGTATTTGGTAGAGGCCAAATCAAAAAAACTGTAAATATGTTATTTTTAAGTTTATTTGTTGTCCATTTTAAATGAATTAAACATTTAAAGTGAATGATTATAGATGTGTAAAATCACGAAGAGATCCTATACTTGTTATGTATTAATATTCATTTATTTATTATACTTATGGATATAATATAACAATACCAACATTTTGAAATGATTGTTATTATCAAATTCATTTTTTTTAGAAAACAAAAAAACAATATTAAATTTCATTGACAGCCAATATTAAGTATTTACCCTGAAAGTATTTCAACAGTATTCTTGAACCTTGGTTAATAAGCAATCAGCCACAAGTAAAAAGAAGTTTCTTATAATATGGTTCTAACTTCTGTCAGATAAAACCAATTTAAAACCATTAAATGTATTTAAGACTATAACTGAGTAATACGTGACTGATTTCCTATTTGATTGAACATTGTGAAGTTACTACTAGAAGTATTATTAATGTTAAAATTTTCCAAAAAATGTTGGTATTTAAAACTGTGCAAAGCATAAGTTTTATATTATTTGTTTTTAAATTCTTTATTATTTCTATTTAATTTGAACTTAACATAAATCTACAAGTATGACTACTTTAACCAGTAGCTATATATTTTGAGCTAAAACAAAGCAAATTTCCATTCAGTTTAGTTTCTAAAATGTAGGCTTGTTGTGTCTGGATTATAATAAAATGGATTCTATGTATTAGATAGACATAGTGTTTAGAAGTAAATAAATACTGGGAACGGGTGGATGGAAATGGTTATTTTAAAATAAATTCTTCCTCAAATTATTATTATTTTTTAATCCTCTGGTAATTTTTTTTTATTCACCATATAACAACACAAATAAAAACCAAACAATCCCTCCTTTAGGCGCTCACTAATATAGTAAAAACTTTAACTGTTCAATTATGACAGCAATACTTAATCCAGAGATTTAAAAGTAACTCGCCCATCCATATGTGCACTAAATATACATATATATATTCATAAATTGTTATGTAAAGGAAATTATATATTCCATTGTAATGGTTAAGTTTGTGATAGAGAGTAGTCAATTGTATGTTAATAATTAGTATTAAGAATTAATGCAGTCTAGATTGTTGAAAAAAATATGCAATTTTAAACCAAATATATGTTACCATACTCACAGAGTGGTTTTCATTCAGGGTTATTATTGATTTTCATAATATAAAATAAAATATGATAAAGAGATTGTTAACATTCATTTTGTAATGATTAAATATTATAATAAATGTTCATTAATTCAGTGAAGTTTTATTTACATTACTACTAAAGCATATTTTTAGTTATAGTCTTGTTTTAGGTTTTCATTTGTCTGATGAACAATTTAAATTCTATTAATTGAATCCAGTAATTCCTTTTAAAAAAATTGATGTATAGAAATACAGAAAATTTTCATTATTTACATTTAATCACATTTTAAAAACTTCATCAGTTTAATTATAAAGTATTTTGCTTCTTCTTCTTTGTCTATCTCTGATACCATGCCTAGCGTCGAGGAGCCTCGATCCAATGCAGCCACGCCTCTCAGTCCCAGCCAAGCTGCCTCATTTCTTGGAGAATTTTCCCTCTCTTCCCTCCAATCCACTGTATGTAATCCTGGTAGGAAATTCTGGGATGGCCTCGATGTCTCCTCCCAGTGAATCGACCTTCCATCACTTTTCGAGGTTCTGTTTCATCGTCCATTCAACAAACGTGGCCAAACCATTTCAGTTGTCGATTTTCAAGCATAGTCTTTAGCTCCACCACCTCTAGCTTCTCCCGTATTCGTTTACTTCTGAAACGGTCTCTTCTGGTCTTACCAACGGCTCTTCGCAGGAACTTCATTTCCGCACTTGTTACCCGGCTGGCCTGCTTGTCCAGCATAACCCAACAAATGGTGTACTTATAGTCGACACTGAATGTTATGCTGTTTGGAATGTGTAACTAAAGTAATAAAGGTTCAGAGGTCTGAAAGATGGCTGATGTAACAGAATAATTAATTACAAGCCAAATACTGACTTTAATCCAGAACCCAGAGGATAGGAACAAATTCCTTGCTCACAGAGCTATTTGGTGCATAGAAACTCTTAATTTATAAAAGTTCAATATATTTAAGGTTTCAACTGTTTTTAAGTAAATGTAATCTTGAATAGAAGGAATGCATAACACCACAAAGTGTAACAGAAAAATCTTATATATATCTCTATGATTAAATATTAAAACTATTTCAAGATAAATTATAGGAATCCTATTGAGTTTTACAACTATTTTAAACATGATAGACTTTTTATAATATATGGGATCTTCTTTGCCAGATATAACCCCTCCTTATACAAAATTAATTTCAATAAGAGTCCAGTTTAGTATAAGTATAAAAAATATAAAAGAAACAGACAAATAATGTCATACAAGTCAATACCTATAGGTTTTGTAAATAGTGGCTACAAAAATGTTATTCACATTTTGGAAATATATTGTGGCTGATTCAGTAGAGTAGCAAAAATTACCAAACAACCATCATGTTTGAAACTCCGTGAAGAATAATTTGAGGGGTTTTATAACAACGATCAAACATTTCACTGATATTTCTTATCAGCCTACAAACAATACGTAAGATTTAAATCAGTTCCTGTTTTATGAATGAGAGAAGAAGGTATGAACCCTGAATGATTATTGGAAAAAAATATTGTAATTTGGAATATCAAGGTTTGAAAATTGATTTAATATAGTTTTGTTTTTATTTGTTTGACCAAAATAAGAGACAAATGAAGTGAGAAATTCATTGCTAAAATTGGTTGGTTTTCATCAAGCAAGACAATTTATTTAAGAACTAAATTATTTATTTTTTTATAAAGTGTTATTTGTTTACTTATTTGTTTTAACATCCTTATTTACCCCAATTTATCAACTTATTTTAGCCTGAGTATAAGTCAAAACTGATTAAGAAATTTTACCATGAAATAAAATCAAGAATAGAAGCCAGACGCTGACCCTACTCAGGGAGTATGCTGAAGGGTTGCCTCTACACACTCGACCACCACTGCCTCAAAATGTTATTTAAATAAGAAATAAAAACTTTAAAACATTCAATATCTTGGAAAAATAATTTGAAGTTTATAATTTTGTACATAAACTTTATAATGGATACGTATATCAAGTATAAAAATTCAGGTATGGCGAACATCACACTCCTTTCAGTTACCATAATTAATTTAATCTATTATTGTTGCTAAAGTTATTGAAGGTTATTACAATAAGTTTTATCAATCTGTAAACACTGCTTGATATATTTTGAGTGGCATATGCCTCTCTCACTAAAGTATAATTAAATAGTTTTAAACAATTTCATTAATTCAATTTTTTTTTTTTGTTTGTCATGCTTAAAAGTAATTATAGTAGTTCCCATTTATTTTGGAAATTTCTCATTTTTTTTCTGTTGTTGTCAATTATCAAATTCTTTCATAGTTTATATTTAGGTATTTTTTCTATTAATCACCATGAGAGACTATTAATTATTTCAAATAAACCATATTGATGGTACTTTGAAGGAAGCTATTTTGAAAAATTGTTATTTTAAACCTGTCAAATTATGACAATAAAAATAAATTCTACCTGATATTAAAAACCACTTAATTGTACCTTGGAAAACAAGTTTAATCAAAATGGTCAGTATCGTTTTCAAGAATATTGTAAAATTAGTTATATAAAATGGTACTTCTGGTGAGCTGATTTGGAAGAAAACGTTTCTGATGAAAACATATACTACATGTATATACTATGTAAAAGTATTATAACAACTAAAAACATTCATCAGTACTAAAATTATTATAACAATTAAAAACATTCATTAATACTAAAAGTATAAGATACAAATATGTACTCATAAAAAAAGAAATACAAGAATAAACTTTATTGCAAAACAAAATAATTGTGGATCATATCTCACATAAATTGAATTTAGGGCTTGAAACATAGTGCTATTTCATCTATAAAAATTCATTTTCTCTTAATTGACAAAAAATCTTAATGAATATATGAATCCAAAGTCAACTTGACATTTAAACAAATCATTTGAAACAGTTTTAAACAAGAACTAAAACGGAGTCTAATCATTTTACAGATCTACAATATTATCACAGTATCTTTAATTATTGTTCAGATCACATTGAATGTCCATGTTTAAGAATCAAAAATGATTCTTGATCGATGTCAAAGAGTGGCTACAGATAAAAATGTTATAAAAATCAGGCTTAAGGCAGTCATCAAAGGAAATGAGCCTGACGTAGATGCAGAATTGATTTTATCTGTTGTGTTGTAGAAGGAGTTATATTCTCCAAGTTTTGCTGCGTACTTAACTACTTCTGCTACATAGTTCTGTTCATGCATGTGATGGAAGAGATGAGCAAATGGCCCTGGAAAAAATAACAGAGTGCATTATTAAACATAATGAGTAAAAAATAAGCAATTCATCATATAATATTCATAGATACAGATAAATAAATATTGGAAATGTTTTCCCACCAAAGATTTTTATTCATGTTCAACAGATTTTACCTTAGTATTTATGGTCCTGGTAAACAGTTTCTATGGTTTGGTATTTATCGCTGAGGGATATAGGACTCAATATAACCAAAAGTGGTTATGTGCCTTAATAAGAAACCTGAAATAATTTTATTTCCTTCCTCTTGCGTAATTAAGTTTGAGTTGAATTTTATCAGGGTTCAAATGTTGAATAAGAATACGTCTAACGCAGATTCCACGCTAGTGATACTAGGAACAATTTCATTCTAAGCCATTTTTTCAGGTTCTTCTTGTAGAAATAGACATAAAACTCTTCTGCAGTTGGTCAGGTTAACTTTGAGAACACTCTATAAATTTAGATTATTAGGGTTTTGAATTAAAAAGAAATTTTAAATGCATATTCCAACGATTAACAGTGTATGAATTTTGAGTCCTTAATTTTCTAAGCAAATCAATCAACAAAGTGTGAGAAAGCAATGTTGTACATAAGCTAAGTATCAGAAATTTTGATTTTCCAGGTCAGGGTGCTTTCTTCCATTTTAAATAGTTGCTCATATAAAAGGCTAAGTTGAGCTCTTACCTCTGCTAAAGTACTTTGGAAAACAAGCCTTTCGGTTAATGAGTCTAAACTTAGACAAGAATGTTACCATGGACCACAAAGATGATCTATTTATACATTTGGTGTAGGTATATATAAGTTGCTCACATATATTACTACTTTGAAATTTTAAAAAAATTCAAAAACTGGAATAATCAATTTTTATTTACCCCCTACATCGCATTTTATTTCATATTGGTTGGAGGGAGCAGGTTGTTCTGGAAGTACAATCAAATCTATTCTAACCAGAGTGCAAAGGTCAAAATTAATCCAGTGGGTCCACCAAGAAATAAATATCAATCCTCCAGGCTGTGCTCGAACCAGTGGCACTGGACTTGAGAATGTGAAAGTAGGCAATGCTTTTTTCAAGCTGGGCCGCCTCAGTCTCAATGAATAATTTTTTTTTATTACCCCACCTCGCCATTCCTGGTATACATAAGGTTATTCTAGAGGTACAAGCAAGCCTATTCTAGATTAATATAAGCTTGCATATTTAGTTAAATTAAGAGCAATACCTGATGCATAAATAAGTACATCACTTCCACCATGTGTATTTTCATCTTGAAGAACCCCTGCTTGAACTCCATAGTCGAAAGATGTAGTGTCAACTTTAGATGGATCTTCACGGACAACAGAATTATTTTCTACTTTGTAATGATAGTTCTCTTTGGCAGAGTTTGCATAACCAAGAGTGGTGTAAGGCAACCCATCAAGTCGTGATACACTTGCAATACCTAAAAATTAAATGAGAACAAATATAAATACTTTCAGACATCACTTATGAATTTATATCATGAAAATTCAATATTTTTAAATCATACCAAGAATATTATTTCCTCTGTTGGGGTATCCACTTATTGTAAGTGTGTGAGAATGATCACTAGTTACAATAACAAGAGTTTCATCTACTATTCCAGAATCCTTTAATAGTTTCATTGTTGCATTAATTGCATCGTTAAATGCCAAAACTTCATGAAGAGCTTTACGGGCCTTGCCTCGATGGTGAGCCAAATCTATCATACCTCCTTCAACCTAAGAGCAGTGCAAAATTAATTTTTAACAGCTATAATGTATGAAATATAAAAATAAACATACAATACCAATGGATAATTAAAAAATGTCTCCAAATTCATTTTAATTTATATTCAAAAAGCTATTAAAACAGTGTAATCCAAACAATAGAATCCTTCCAATCAAATTATAACATAACCAAAAATAGTGATTTGGTATTAAAATTTTGATTATGCAATAAAATAATTTGTTTCAATTTTGACATAAAGAATATTGTTGCTGGATAGTTAGTAACTTTGAATACAAACTTTCTTTTTTCCAAATGAATAAAGTCTGAAATAGAGATCATGCAGCCACTTAAAGAAAAATGAGTATTTATTTAAATAAAGAAGAAGCTATTTGGTAAAAAAAAAATTAATTTTGGAAATGGAATATTTTTGATAAACATACAGGGTTGTCCAGAAGGGGGTTTCATGGCTCAAGTTACACCATCAAGATTTTTGAGGGGGGCACATTTTGACGGGATTTGGTATTTTTGAGAGGAGCACATTTCGACTGGGTTTTGATTTATTGGAGTGAATAGTTTCTATGCAGGGAACAACAGAGAAAACATGGGCTAGAAAGCTGCATGTGTATTTGTATATGATCTACGATTTTTCTAATTCTTCTTTCGCATGGACTGTGTTTAAGGAGAAGGGAGCTATACAATTTCTTGGAAAAGAGCGGGAATTTGTGTGCAATCCTGGGGAGGAGGACGCGCATCCCTGTAACCATAAACTAAAAACATTGTAGTAATACAATAAATAACTCAACTGGCCTTTCCTTTTCTTTCTAACCATTTAATCTAAAAGTTTTTCAAGATGCTCTTTGGTTTTAATTTAAGATTACTATGAAAATGATTGGTTTCAAAATTAGATCAGCTTGAAATTAAAATTTAAAATTAAATAGTCGACACCAAAAATCAGGAAAAATCTAATTATATTTTGCCAAATTTGTCATCATATTGAAAAAATTATAATATTAAGAAAAGAAGTTGTAGTTTTAAAAAAACAACATTGATTATTCTCAGACTTAATAATCTTTTTCAGGAGATAGAGAAAAAATTCAAATAAAATATTAAGGTTGCTGAATATTTTAATGCATCATTCTTGAATCAGATGTGACATTCATTGGAATCATAATTGAATGAGCCGAAATTTATTTTCTGAATGAACTAAAAATAAATTTGGATCTTTCATTCAGACCAGAAAAGGTTGGTAACCGGTCTGTCCTTCTTATCCTATCCAATCAAACGGGTGTTTGGAAAAATAATTTAACCCAATTGAATTCAAAATAATCCATGCTGATTGAAAATTCATTAAACAGATTAAAAAAATAATGGCTGAAGCACATACTATTAACAATTTAAAAACAAATGTTAAGAATTCTAAAATTTTGAATTTGTATTTATAAAAAGTTTATTAAATAGACAAAACTACTAGAATTGTTTAATAAAAAGAAGTTAATAAATATATGTTATTTGTGTTTGCACCAAAATTAATTTTATTTCATACAATTTATTCAATAATTTAGTTCATACAACAAATTTTCATGGAATAAATATCCTTTCATGATATATTATCCATATATATGATTTATATCCAAATTATATTATTTTATTTTATTAATGCTCATTTCTTACCATCAGTAAAAATCCATTTTTATTCTTTTTAAGAATCTTTACTGCTGTAGTAGTCATTTGCTCCAGAGATGGCATACCAACATCAGAAGTATTCCTTTCACAATCAAATGGAAAGTGATGATTGGAAAAAATACCTGATGAATTAAAAATATATAACATCAAGATATTGAAAACATGAATTTTCATTAATATCACATTTATTAAAAAGAATTTTATTTTGATCAACTCAATATGTGACATTTCATATTCCAAACATAATTTTACAGTTAGTGAAATAACTATAATTCTTTAAATATGAGAATAACATAAAGTTGATTATAATTTAAAGAATTGTAAATCAATAATTGATCAAATAAAATTCAATTAATTAATTTTGTTTTTTAATTTCAATAAAGATGAAAAACATAAATATTTAGTTAGTCAATACATGATATTATATCAAATCAACAGCTACACTTGTATCCAAAAAGTGCTAATCGAAGAAGTTACTAAAATTATTTCAGCTGAGTCTGAGCAGGCAATAAAAAATAATCCCAAATTGTCTTTATCAAACAGCCCTCACACCATTTAAAATATTTATGCCTATCATCAAGAATAATACTTTTTTATAAAATATAACTTGCCCATGAGGTAGTCTGTATTGTCAGTATCCACAGACATTAAAGTTTTTGTATTGCTTGGTAAAGCATACTTTAGATTCCTAGATTCCTTATCCTTGGCCCATTCATTAATTAAATCTCTTCCATCTGACCTACGACAGGACCACTTGAGTTCTATAGGGTCAATAGTTGTCCCTGTGCTGTTCGTTTTCAGCACCTGCCTTCCTCCTCCCATTATAACCTTAAATACAGTTTAACAAATATAATATATTTAGATTTATGTATAAAATACATTGAAAATGATGAGAATTTTAACATAAATAAATTAAAAGTGAATGATTTTTAAATATGAATAAAATAAAGTTACATTAAAATTTTTTCCAGGAGCATCTTCTATAAGTTGTCTTGCAATGTCTTTACAATTAGAATTTTTTGGGATATTAGAGTCACATTCCCAATGCCTATATGCTGAATGTGCATACATCGCTGCTGGGGTAGCATGTGTGACACGTGTGGTGGTAACAATACCTGCAAAAATTAGTATAGGTAATTACAAAATGTAACAACATAAACCTGTTAACAGACTAATTTTCAATAAATTTGGTCCAGTCATTTCTAATATTATAGGTTGTGGTTTAAATAAAGTCAATACAACTGACGCACATTCGGGCAGAGAGGCTGATGGGGTGCAGTGCATAGAGATTTCAACCAAATTTTTTGATTTTTTAATTATTTATATCCACCTCTTGTATCTGTTTCATTTATATGTATTATTGTTTTAATATTTGTACAATTTTAATTAAATAAAAAATATAAATAAATGAGACGGTTCATGATAAATAAAGTTGTACCACGAATTCTTAAAGTTTCATTTGTATATTAATTAAATTAGTACTTTATTTTGCATATTTTAATTATTATCTATTTATAATTGTGGGTAAATGATTGACTGTCGTGAATAATAAAGAGAAGAATAGTTGGGGTGATCAGTCAAATAAGAAGGCAAAAATAAATGCTAATATTCATTTTGACATTTGCCGACGTTTTGACCTGAAGTTTAGGCCTTCATATACATTATATATTTAAGTATTATTACTTAGTACTAGTACTATATTTGCCATCATGGTTTTTCATTTTTTTTATATTAGCGAAAACCTTTAGAATGGTTTAATTCACTTACCATCTAAATAAAATTAGAAATGGTGATTATTTAATATAGACCCTAATTTTTCAATTATTATTTTCCATAAATTTGTTACCTATGACCTATTAGTTAAGCACCTAATACTGTGGTAGTAGCAAATCAGTGAGTATGTGAAAGAATATACTCAGACTGGCATATATTCTCATCATTGGATTAAGAAGACAAAAAGTCATTTGTGAACTTAATCAAGCTTTTATAAAAGTATGATCAATGGTAAACAAATTTGCTATTTTGTTTTTCAAACTACTTTTTAGTATGAAGTGATTACCTGTTGCTTTCCCGGCTTGCTGTGCGAGCTTAGCAATAGACGTGAGTCTTTTCTCTGCCATGAGGCTGCCCTCGCAGTCTCTCTCTTTGACAGATGAATCAACTCCTAACATACGGTAGTTAACTTTAACTCCAGTAAACATAGCTGTAGCTGTGCTTGCTGAATCAGGAACTTGTTTATTTTCAGCGTAAGTCTGTAAAAACAATTAATTTGATTTGTTTATATTCATATAACATATTCGTAATGAAAATTAATCTAATATTAGATCTTTTGTGGGGTTTTTTATTCTAATTTTACATTTTAAATCATTCCATTAAGTCCTAAGAATTGATCTTATATATATTTCTACCAAAAATAAAATCTACGTCCAGAACCACAAAAATAATAAACAAGATGCATTATAATGTAATCGTATGCTATAATGGTACAAGCTGTGCTAGCCATAGCCTGCAGGAGGGAGTGCTCGTCAAAAAAAAGTATATGGGATTGATTTATTCATCCTGTTAATAGAACAACTGAATTAGAAACATATTAAATGCAATATAGTATAAGATAATAACAGCACTCTAAACAACTTGTTACTGTCATCATATAATAATTTGAATCCATATTAAGAATTAAGCAGTAAAATGAAGTTTTATGTCATTTTATCTTCTTGCTATAGCTTGTTTAATTTTCATGTCTTTAAAAAACAAAAAAATTGAATCTGAACTAATACTAATTGTTAATTATTCAATTTGGCTGTATTTCATTAATTAAAATTTACCTCAACATTCTTTTAAAAATATATAATGAGTAGCTGATTACCAAATTTACTATTAATATTCAGTTGACCAAGATTGTGCCTAATGTGAATTCATATCATCTATTTCATTAATACAAATGAACTAAATTATAATATTCAGGGATAATTCAGCAGTCGAGGTAAACTAAGACAAATTTATAGGCTTTCGAAAAATAGTATTTTTGTTTTTTGAATTGTGACTGCCACATGAACCAGTAGGATTCATTCATTCATAAATTCACGATTTAATTTTGGGGGTTTCAGTTTGAAAGTTTTTATATTTATATGTATTCGTATGTAAAGATAATTACTTTGGGAAAAAAAGAAAGAATCAAACGAAGTCGTACTAAAAATAATGACAAAAAAAAATGCAATTACATGAACAATAATACTTTCAGGGATACTTTTAAAATATTTTCTCATAAGACATAGTTATATCTAGTAGCTGAATATGTATTATAATTTTTAAAAATATAACAGACTGTTTTAAGTACTTAACTGAGATCACCCAAGTAACAAATATCAACCAATGAAAAAAATATCATTTTCCATTTTGAGAGAATTCAGTCTAAAAGTCTTCTACCCTCCCCAACATAGATCTGCCAGTGACATGGACTAGCTTACTCCTGATTATCAATAACGTCACCTGTTAATTATTTAATGCAATGTGAAACAATTATACCTATTTTCAATATTCCTCCATAAAACATCCATACTTGAACAAGGTACAGTTTGTTTTTAAGTCTTTTCAAAAGTTATTTTATAATTAGTAAAATATAAATTATCTAATACCAAGTGGAATATGGAATAGTCACTAAGCTATTTCATATCTGTGATGAGCTTCCTCTATTAATAGAAAAAGGAAAAGCTGTAATATATCTTGTCAGTTCTTTAAACTTTTTAATGACAACAAGCAGGAGTTCATTAAAAACTTATAACATTTTATCTGCTTTCAACATTGACCTAAATTTACAAAAGAAAATGTGTCAATGTACTTGTTAAATGACTTTCAGATACACTAATTAACTAATAGTTCCACTTTGAGATTTTATTTTATACCAGTACCATTCAGCAATATTTTATTTTTCTTTATTTACATTTCGGAAATTGAATCAGTTTTCATGGTTGCAACAAAAATAACAACTGTTTGGTGTCTTTTACCTTATAAATCCTACCATTTGTAGAAACTAACCAAGCTTTACCTAACATAGTACAAGTCAAGCTGACCATTAACCAAGCCACTAGTCATTTTTAAATTATTTAGTTATAGCAGAACACATCCAACCCCTTCGGTAGTTTTCTGCTTACCATTTTTACGTTAATTTGATTAAAAAGTGAGTATAATCAAACAAATTAGTTTTTGATTATATACTGACTTTGTTTTTATGTGAAAACTTCCATTTTCTTATATCTGAATTTAATTTTTTAAATCCATAGTTTTTTCCAGCCCCATTGGAGGTACTTTTAGGGTAATTAAATAAAAATCAAATAAATTTCCTTTTCTTCTCTACCTCCTCGCTTTTAGGCTATACGGGAAAAAAATATTTTCTCTAGATTTTTATCTATTCTTGAATATCTTTTGTCCATTTCTAACATATTAGGTGGTTATACTACAAGAAAGAGTGAAAAGGTCTATATTCTTGAATATCTGACATGTATCAATTTAATAATTCTATTAAATAATAATAAATAAAATATATTAGAATTAGGAATTGAATTAAGATATTTCAACTTATCCAAAATCTCGACTCACCTTCAGAGCACCGAAGTGGGGGAACCTCTCCCAGGAAAGGTAGCTGGTCTCGCCTCCTCGGTATATCCTGGAAGCTGTGATGGTATTGGGCCCCATCCCATCGCCGACGAAGATGATAACGTTCTTCGCTACATCAGTGTTTAGTCTTGTCTTCAGACCATCTTCTAAATCTGCTTTTGCAGATTTTTCCCAATATGCTCTGTCTGTAAAATTTAAAATTCTGAATAAATAATGTTTAAATATATGTTAATACATTAACGATCAGTATTAACCAAAAAATATTTGTTTGTGGTTTTAAATTAATTTGGCAATAATTTTTAAATAACATAGATTTTCAGTGTACTGGTGGTCAGTAATTTATTATCAGATATACCACATTTAAACATAACTCATTGAATATAATATGGATAATAAATTAATAATATATAGTTCAAAAATTGTATATATATATATATATATATATATATTTTATTTTTTATTTATTTATTTTTTTTGTCTTAGTGATAGTTATCCTGAGTGGACAGACTCTTATGGATCAAAGGAGCTCATATTCAGTAAATAGGATTAAAAATATCCTAATTTCGGTTTGTCCAAACGATTCCAGAATTTTTCTTACCTTTACATCTCCTCCAGATAAGGTTAGAGAGTTTTAAATTCTGTATGAAAATTGAGCTGATCTTAAGAAGTGCATTTCAGTGTCTCAAATTCTCTTTCCTACCTCCACATTTATTTCTCGTTTTTTAATATTTGACACACCTATATTCAATAGATCCCCTCTGAATTCAGTTATGAGAGTTTTTTTTGGCTCCTCCTCTTCCTCGCCTTTAAGGCTATACGGGGTTTTCCAGAACCAGTGAGTGAGGGAGGTGATTTAAAATACCCCTCTACCCAGGCACCCCAACGCGAACTCGTGGCTATTTTTATTTAGTTATCTCATGTAACAGGTTGCTGGGCAACGGCGGTGCTGTGCACATACGTTAGCCCATTCGACCACACTGCCCACAAAGTTATGAGAGTTGAAAATTTGTTTGTAAATCAAGATTGGTGTTATAGAAGAGGCTATATACAGGAGGGGTCCTAACTGTTTTAATTAATTTTTTTTCACACCTATTGGCCATTCGAATAGAGTTAAGGGATGGAAAATGTCTATGCTAACTGTAAATTGAGTTGATGTCAGATAAGTACGTTTTGGAAGTCTCATCTTATTTTTACCACTACCGCTAGTCAGAAACAAATTATAAAATGATCAAAAACAAAACACGAGAAAGAAATGTAGTTTAAAAAATAACATAATTTAATTTGAAAAAAATATCTTTTTCTATTTGAAACAAAAATTGGAGAAAAATACGACCTAAGTGATGGAGCTCTCCTACTCACGCTCTATTATTTAAACTGTTGCAATTAATATTTAGTTTAGATCATTCACATAAAGAAAAATGAACCATTGGGGGGGGAATCTATTCTAGGAGGGGGGACTTCACCCCAAAAGCATCCTCGTAGATCCACCAGTGTTTACAGTTAATTCAATTTTTTTTTTTCGACTGAATATTGAAATACTCATTAGTTGTTCTTTAGATATGACATGGGTATCTATATAAGAAATTGCACATCGCGTATGTCTTTATTGTTTTAATTGCGTTAGATAAGATTGTGACTGTTATTAGAATATTTCTAGGAATAATTTTCTTTCTATTTATTATTATTATTATTTTTTTATAGTTGTTGAAGAAATTTTGTTTTTATTTTATAATGATCTGATTGTTTCTCATTAGCGATTATTATAAATATACGATTACAAAACAAGGATCTGATAAATAAATATACTTTTGAAAATGCTATATCATCAGCGAAAATTAGAACGAATTCGACTGTATCCAATTATCGGTCTTTAAAAAATCAGTATCCAGAAGGTCATACCGAGAGTTACATCATTATTAAGGAGCAGTTAATACAAGTTCAGTATGAATCACAATTTTGTTTATCCATGCTTGAAATCAAGTATTTTAATAGTTAAAAAAAATTATAATTATTTATGAAGGGTCTAGGGTATAGGTGGGGAACCGTGGCCTCCAAATCATTTTGTGCAATATTTGTTAATCTAGTGCTAAAATTAATTAATATTTAATAATTTAAGTAACCAAAACATGGAAATTGATAGAATTAAGTTGAATGTATGTACGTGGTTGTGTGTATTTCGTGATAAATACAAAAAGCAATGGTAAAATATAAAGAATTATTGCGGCCTCCATTAGCACTGCCTAACCTTACTGCGGTCTCTAGAGAGAAATACAACAAAACTGCACAGCTGATTAACTATTGTGAGTTGCTAAAATACCCAGCGTACTGCTCAATCTTAATTAACAATATTTAGTAAGAGAGATCAAAAAATAATAAAGCTCTTTAGGACTATCATCCAAAGTAACGAATTCAAAGCCCCAACCCACAGACCTTGGGACCAAGCTTTTCGGAAGTCTGGGGGAGTTAAAAAGGACCACTAATTTAAAATTTTTACTTCCCGACATAGCCATCTAGAGGGAAAAAACGAAGAAGAAGAAGTACCTAATATAATAATTTATTCTTCCATTGCTATAATTTTCCCCTCCTTCCCGTCGTATCTGTCCGTAGGGCTCATGAGGAGGACGTCAGAATTAATACAAGTGATGATGTTGGATCACCATTGAGTCCAGAATAATAGATTCTGCCATACTCTGCAGATGGCTCCGTTCCACACAGGGGTTACTATATTTTGACTGAGGTTTTTGAAGTTCGCACATTTCGACGAGGTTATGAATTATCGGAATGAAAAGTTTCATACAAAGGGACAAGGGAAAAACATGAAACAGGCCGCAGTAAGTGTAATTGTATATGATCTACGTATTGGTATATGATTTTTCTCATTCTATTTCCCCTTGTTCTGTTCTTCAGAATAGTTGAGCAATAAAATATCTTGGGAGTGAGAGGGGGTAGGTCCTTGTGCCATCGAACTTTGGAGGGATGGACACCCCTGGTTCCACATTCAATTTTTCCAAGAAATCAGCAGTTGAGAGTAGAATCGCTCTTCTATTTCTGAACAATAGTCTTCAAACTGAAAATTCTCTCTCACCAAATTCCTCTCTATATTTCTCTTGTAGGTACGGAATAAATTTTTAATAGAAGTCCTCTTTTCCTTTTTGTATTTTGAAATCTTGATCCTCGTCGTTTGTAACGAATCTAAATGTAGGATCATCTATCAGAACCTCTGTTGCTTTCGCACTAATGACGAAGATACCCACAAATCTCACTGAGCCTTCTCTATCAAGACTTTGAGGTAGCAGCCATACTTTTTCGTCTCCAGTAATTTGCCAATTTGATGCTTTATTTTATTGTTCTGGTGAATGACAAGGAAATACTATCAATCAACCTGTCGCTGTCAATTAGTTTTTCGGAACTTTGTTGCTATTTTATTTTAAATGTTTCCTACGTTGAAGGACGGACCCCGCCTTGTCCCCTTAAAGTACACCTATACATCAAACCACACATTTCACATTGTTTAATAAAAAAAAAAAAAGGGAGCTTCTAATTTGGCAGAAAGTATCGTGTGTTCAAAATATTTTACAAACTATTAGATTTTATGGATCCGTTTGATTACGATAAGTAAATAATGTTTAGTGGATTATTGACTTCAATCACATGAAAAACAGACGAGTCTTCAAAATCTTACGAACATCACAAATGTTTTAAAACAATATACCAATGCTTGAGACATTTTATTCTAAAATCGTTCAATAAACAATGAGACGTTCTTTTAAAGTAATATACCTCTCTCATTTATAGAACTAGAAAGAACATTTTATATTTACGTTTATTATAAGCCATAGAAATAGTAAAAATAAAATCCGAAAATAATTTTTTAAAATTATGTATTTTGGTACGGCCAAATAAATCTAAGAAATGTCTAAAAACTAAAATAAACAGAGGGAAGATTGCTGTTTTACTCTGTTTTGTCCATTCAAAGAATCATATTAAATTCTTAACTGAATATCCATCAATGATATTTTAAATTAATATTATGGCCTGCAAATGCTACAGAACCAATTATAGATCCCTAAGGCCGTGGCGCTTATTAATATAGCATTGATTTTTTTCCGCATATATATTTTTTTATTATATTACTGAATGACCTAAATGCACCCAATTCACAAACATATAAACATCAACTTTTTCTTTGACTGTTTTACTGAATACTTCATCTTATCATTTTGATAATAATAAAAAGACGTACCTAAATAAAACTGGACATTAATCTATACCTAATTATATGAGTTAGTGATTGGGCATAGCGGATCAATTTTAGGTCATGGGAAGCAGGGAGGTCGCGAAAGTGACAGAGAACCATGTTGTCAATCTATTCCTTACTGATAGTCTCATTAAGTGGACGAAGCGTTCACTTTATTTAAGATTATTCTTACTTGATTAATTGTAATTAAACTTACGATTAAGCAGGCATTTTATTGTTCTTTAACCAAGGTGCTTAACATATTATTATCTTATATTTGTAGGAGTTCTTTCTAATTTAGGATATTGAAATATCCTTGGAATTATGATATACAAAGCCCCACATCTCTAATACTCCTTGAAAATTCCCGGTGTCATAAAAACTTAAATTATATAAATATTTTCTCATATCAGTACCGGAGTTTAAAAGATAAACTCTATTTTCGCTCAATAAAATCTACCTTTGCAATCCTAAAATTTTGTTCATTATTTTCAATAATAAATCTTTCTAATAGACCAAAATAAATGTTTAGTCTCTTTAGAATTTGAGATTTCAAGATATTAGAATGTTTAAATCAAATTTTTAAAAAAGTATAGTGTGTGCTTAAGACCACGATGGACGTGAAAACATCAATACGAAGGGATTAATAATATGAAATATAAATTTTTGTTTATTTGTTCTATATTCACAAAGTAATAGCATTTAGAAGTATTAGCATGTATACAATTATCGTTATAATCACGTATAAATTATTCAGATAAACTTTGCTCTGAGTGATCATCATTTAGTTAATTTAAAATCAGCGTATACAATTTAACACGCTGTAACTTTGCTAAAACTGGTTCGATTTGGTCCGAAAAATGCGTTTTTCCGATTCAGAGGTCTCTGAAACGTAAAGATTAAAGAGAGGTTGAAAGAGGTTTAAAATCGCACATCAAAATTTTTACCCGATAACAACACTTCCCTACGAAGAGTAAATACTCGACTATCTTGATTACATACATTATTTGATTACATAAGAATAATTATGGTATAATTATAAACGCTAAAAGAATAATTGTAGTCTGATTAAATTTCCTTTGAAAAAAAAATTCTTAATCGGAACAGTAATAACTGAGGATACAGCAAATGATCTTTTTTATATATGACTTTGTACGCTAAGCACTAAGGAAAGCATTGTGAGTAGAAACAGGTGATATTTCTATTTGAACTAATCATTTACTAACATGCAGGAGTGGATTGAGGATTTAATTTTGGGAGATGGGGTTTATGTTCTATTTATTTTTTTTAAACGGTAATTAACCTGGTTGAAAGAATACGAAACTATATAAAATGATGTTTAAGTGGCCTTTCAAGAGCTGTTAACCCTAAGAATACGGTAATTATAGAAACAATAATACTTTTAGAGATAAACTTCTTACATATATTTTTCTTAATACGGTTCTCGTATTTAGTAGCTATATATGCGTTTAAATTTAACAAGAGAACACATTGTGAATGTATCTTTAGTTCAATTCACTCACAGAAACAAATATGGACCAAGGAGAGAGAAACACTTTATTTTCATAAAATATAAAGAATTGCTGCCCAATTATATTGGGTTGCTATATACACAGCATACTCTTCTATCCTTAGGACAATATATGAACTTATATATAAATATACAGAAGTATTAGTTAATATTAGCAAAATGCATATATATATATATATATATATATATATATACATTTTAATTTTTATTTTGTTTTCCTTTTTTTTCCTTTTTCCTTCCTTTCATTGTTCATGCTTTTTTTTATTTATTTTTTTAACATTTAGTTTCCCTTTCTCTCACTTCTCTCTCTTTATCTCTATTGTTTTCAATTATTCATTAAATAAATAAATAATTATTTTTTTTTTTTTTTTTTTTTTTTTAAATTTCTTTATTGAGTATTATAACAATCTGTCTGTTGGACATTGGTTATAGTGAGGTAGGATGACATTCACACCATATGTACAAAAAAATAAAATAAATAGAACAAAATAATAATCAAAAGTATATACAATAGACAATAAAATAAAATAACCTAAAAAATAAGAAAATCAAAACTAAGGAAAAAAAAAAAAAAAAAAAAAAACACATGCATACCTATATACAATCAGGCGAGGGAACTCCAGGAGAACCCTGCGCTACTCTCCCAACCGCGTCACTGGTACTAAAGCCAGCGGAGATTGGTCGAGAGCACTTTAGCCACATACACACATGTCTTGAGTGAAGAATCAGGCCATTGCCAGAACTCCAATTTATATAATCTACAAAAGGTCGCGAGGCCACTGCCGTTTCAACCTTCTTGGAGGATTATAGGGATGAGAGATGCTTGATAGGGATTGTGCAAGAGGATTTGGGTGGTAAGTAAGGTTCTGGTGAAATTTGGAGAATTTTTCTGGGATAAGGTCTAGGACAAATGGGATGTTAAGGTCATGATGTAGGGTTTTGTTGGATACATAGAAAGGAGCATCGACTATTGTTCGAAGGACTTTAGACTGGAAGGATTGGATGCGCTTGATGTTAGAAAATTTTGCTGATCCCCACAGTTCTAGTCCGTAAGTCCAAATAGGTTTCAGTATTGTCTTGTAGATCAGTAGCTTGTTTTCAATGGAAAGTTTAGATTGTCTGCTTAGTAGTCGGTATAGTTGGCCGTATCGTCGGTTGAGTTCTTGTCTTTTCAGTCTAGTATGCGGGTTCCAAGTTAGTCTTCGGTCTAAATGAAAGCCAAGATACCGGACTGTGTCTGAATAAGGAAGCTGGATGGAATTAAAGAGTACTGGTGGACAGGAATTGCGTCGGAGTGTAAAGGTAATATGTTGGCATTTAGATTCATTAACTTTAATGCGCCAGTTATTACACCAGTGCTCAATCAAGGTGAGGTGACTTTGGAGATTTAAGGATGCTATTTCGGGATCAGAGTTGGATGATAAGATTGCGGTGTCGTCAGCGAATGTTGCAAGAAAAGTATCGGGATGAACAGGGATGTCAGCAGTAAAGAGGATGTAAAGCACGGGACCCAAGACGCTGCCTTGGGGAACACCGGCTTTAACGGAGTAGATATTGGAAAATTCTGTTCCACAGCGAACTCGAAAGGAGCGGTCAGAGAGGTAGGATCGGAGGACTAGGTACAAGGACTGAGGTAAATGGATTTTAAGCTTGGAGAGCAGTCCGGAGTGCCATACCCGGTCAAATGCCTGTGCAATGTCCAGAAAGGCACCCGAACAGTATTCCTTGTTTTCTAGGGCTGAGGAAATATGATCAACAACTCGGAGTCCTTGTTGAACAGTAGAATGTTGAGAGCGAAAACCAAACTGATGGGAAGGGATATTTTGGGATTCTATAATGGGTAGGATTCGTTTCAAAAGGATCTTTTCAAAAATTTTTGAAAGGATTGGGAGTAGGCTGATTGGTCTATAGGATGTTGAGCTATTGAGAGGTTTTCCTGGTTTTGGGAAAAGGATAATAGTGGAGTGTTTCCATAACAGAGGGAAGTGGGTGGTGCGTAGGATACAATTGTAGATATATGTAAGGAATATGACTGCTTTGGATGGAAGTTGTCGAAGGATTTGAGGTGTAAGGAGATCATGTCCAGGAGCTTTACGGAGGATTAGTTTTTTTTAATTGAAATTTTACTTCGGAAGGATGAATAGCTTTTGGGGGCAAGGAAAGTGGGATTGGTGATGTAAGGAGTTCTTCTACTGTTACGGTGTGGGCAGGATGGGATTCCGGATGTGAAATAAATGTATTGGATAGGTGAATGGCGAACTCCTCAGCTTTATCTTCGTCAGATGCTGCCCAGGAGCCATCACCTCGTCGGAGAGGATGGGAAATGCGGTGAGGATTTAGGATTTTTGTTGTGGTTTTCCAAAGGGAATTGTCGCGAGAAGAGAGGGAGGATAGGTAGGAGTTGAAGGATTGTGATCTGAAGGTGGCTAATTCCAGTTTTAATTGTTTGCAGTAGTAATTATAGGAGCAGCGGTCGGTAGGATGTCGGGTACGTTGCCATAATAATCTGGCACGGCGTTTGGTGCGGATTAGGTTAAGGATGTGTTGGGGTAGAATGGTCTTTATAGGAATTCTGGAGGAGTCTTTTGGGAAGGAGGCAGTCCAGGCGGCTTGTTGGATTGTGGTAGTAAAGGAATTTACGGCACTATCAAGGTCATCGGGAGTTTTGAGGGATATGTTGAGATCAATATTATCGGAGATTATTTGGCGGAAAAGGTCCCAGTTTACTGGGCCCCTAATGAATGACGGTGGAGAAGGTTTGGGAACAGGTTCAAGTGAAACATTAAGGATTAGAGGACTATGGTCAGAGGAAAGTTCATTTAGACGTGTAATGGAACAATTGAGGGGACTTAAGCCGCTGTGGATAAAGAAATCAAGAAGATCAGGATTACGGTTTGGATCTGTGGGCCAGTAGGTAGGAGAGTTGGGGGAAAGGAGGTGAAAATGTTGGGAATTGAGTGCAGACAGTAGGGTTCGGCCACGAGAATTCGTGGTTCTGGAACCCCATTGTTGGTGCTTGGCATTTAGGTCTGCACCCAAGATGAAGTGATGTCCTAAGGAGTCGAGGAGAGAACTGAATTGGGCATTGGATATGGATCGGTTAGGAGGGCAATACGCTGATGCAAGAGTGACCGGAAAGGAGAAGGTTTTTATCACGATAGCGGTGGACTGTAGGAAATCATGTATTGGTAATGGGAGTACGTGATGGGAGAGGGATTGGTGTACAATTACAGCAGTACCGGCATGTGCTTTTCCGTCAGGGTGGTCAGTACGATATGTCAGGTATTGTGGTATATTGAAGTGCTGTTTAGTGGTTAGTCGAGTTTCAGTAATTAGTGCCACATCAATGTTCTTGTCAAGTAGTAAAGTAGATAGTTCGTCTGTATGATTTCTAACACCATTCGCATTCCAAAGGAGAATGGATATGGGTTTAGGGATGTGAGTCATTTAAGGATTTTTCAAAGGAGGGATGAGGTGAGATACGAGATTCGTGAGGAGTGATATGAGTGGAGTAACAAGGGATTTGAAATCGGTGAGGAAAGATGCTAACAAACTTGTGAGATCTGTTGCATTTGAAGGAGGAGGAATA